AGAATGATGGTTATTTGGACGTTTGATGGTTATTTTGATATTCTTTGTTCAATGGATAGTTATTTTGATTGGATCAGTCGCAAATTTGCCTTGTTTTGTAGTTGCTTTGATGTTTTCTATTGAATTGATGGTTATTTTGATGGGATCAGTAAAAAATTTTGCTTTATTTGTTGGTTACTTTAATGTTCTCTATTTAATTGATAAATTATTAAAAAATAGTATATTTTTCTGTGTATCATATCAGTCTAACAAGATTTCAAGTACAGAATTGATGTTAGAAAGATGGAGACATCATGAAAGCAAGATTGAAGTATTCTAAGAATTTACGGTTTTAACAGCATAAATTATTTCCCGAACAACTTTTGGAAGTAATTACTTAGAAGGGGAAAATATATTAAATATGTTGACAAAGTTCGGGTGTAATCATTGCTAGAAATCATTATGTATGCGTTTGGTTTAATATTTTTATCCCTATTCTGGATCCTATTTTTACAAATAGCGTTTGGTACAATATTCTCAAAATATTACCCTATTTTTTTATTACTTTTAACCCCATAAGGTTATTAATTTCACTAAATACCCCCTGAAAAAAAGTTTAAAAATTAACAAAACACCCCCTCAACCCAACTTGTCAGATTCCGGCAACCACCGTCGGTGATAGCCGAATCTGTACAACGGCCACTTCCGACCAGAAATGGCCGGAAGTTCACCGCTGTGGCCTTTTCTGGCCAGATCCACCACGGATCTGGCCGGAAAAGGCCAGATCTGGCCGTCACGACGGCCAAAGAAATGGCCGTCGATGGCCAAAACAAACCGTAGATCTGGCCTTTTTCGGCCAGATCCACCATGGATCTAGCCGGAAAGGCCATAACGACGTGTTACGGCACAGATCCGACAAGTCTATGCCTAACGAAATTTTCCGGCCAATTCCGGCGGTGGTGGGCCGGAATCTGACACTGCAGATAGTGGGGGTGTTTTTGTCATTTTATATATAGGGTCTTAGTTAAATTGTAAACCTAAGGGCTTTTTATAATTTAAATTTACCTCGTAATACTCTCATATCCAATACCCATACTTCCCTAAAATCCTATCCAAAATACTACACAAACGCAGCCTATAAAATCAAATATCCAATCCATAAGGCAAAACTTCTTCTTTACACTTTTGCTTCTCTATAATTCTACGGTACTATTTTTTTTTTTTACACAAGGTTTGTAAAAACCTACTTATTGGGATTGAATTCCCTATCTTATTGGGTTTCAATGACAGATATATTATGTGGTGCAATTTAAAAGTTTGGATTCTTATTTATCTAGTACTTTGTTTTATTTAAGTTAAATTGACAAAATTTAAATATAAATGCAATTTGGGTTGCAGCAACTAAATGGTAAATGGTAATTCTACGGGTTTTAAACTTTAAAAAATCAAATGGTAACTCATAGTTTTGAAACATTATTTTTAATAAAAAAACACACCAAATTGGTAATTTAATTTTCATATAAAGTTGAAAGCATACTAGTATTTTATATTTAAAAAATAACTATTTTAGTAATTGACGATTGATATGACAAAAAGAAGGGTGGAAAATGTTACTTTGAACATGATGGGTGGAAGTTTAGGTTTCACCAAACAGGGGTGAAAAAGTCGTTCTCCCTAAATAAAATCCTAACATATGATTTGCTGACTTCAAAAACATAGTACACTTGCTTCGGAACCTGAGCTCTATGTCTCAAATTAAGTCTTCAATCTTTTGCTGCACAGGAGTTTCGGCCACTTCATAGGAAAATAATCACGAGCACACACTTTAAGGTATATTTTCATGATAACAACATATTATTTAATTATTAAGGTTTTTAGAATAGTAATAATGGTAATTTCTTAATAAATTTCGTCCCTAAATAAGGAAAATAAATTTATAAATGATAATTCTATGTAAATTATCTAAAATTTTAGTACTTTTAAATGATTTATCCAGAAATATAAATAGGAAATTAAATTCAGATTTAGGTAAAACATAATAGTAGAATATTTGTAATACTTTCCAATAGAAAGGCGAGCTAACACCAAAACTCCAAAAACGAAAGCTGACTGATATTTTTATACTTTCCATAGAAATTGGCCAATTTGCATTTGACAGACAAATACCATTACCAATTTAACCAATCACAAACTAATACATAGCAGTTGTGAAAATAAATAAGTAAAAAGTTTGTACAAATAATATCTAACTAAAAGACCCAGGTGGAATCGAACCACCATCCTCCCAACAAAGTTTGACGCTCTAGCCTATTTGAGCTTATGGGTCTACCCTACAATATTCCGCCCTACCAAAATAAAAGCATTGCCACAAAAAATTACCGACCACACCATGAACCTAATCATCTCCATTTGGTGTCAAACAATAACCTCAAGTTGCATTTAGATTAAATTATTATCTTAGATTACTAATTGTTTTTAATCCGGGTGTTAAACCTGGCTTAGGTTATTTTGCGTTCCGTTCTTTTGAACATTTCGCCAAAATCATTTACACCGTGAAATTTCACTTCTGTAAAAACTAAACTTAAAATAATTTTTTTCAAAACGCTAAAAATTAATTACCTAGCAACTTCTACATCAATACCATACTGACGTGAATAAAATTTTTCTTTCGGGAAAAATGTTCAACATCAGGAAGATTTCTGCCTCATCAAAGTAAATAAGAACTAATTTTAAAACTCTTAACAAGGCAAACAGAAGAAAAATATTACCACTCTCGTCATTGCGAATTCCGACGCTATTATTTACTATTTTCATAAACATACTATCGTTCATTCAACCTCCAGTTGCAAATTATTCACCTGCAAAAAACCTCAAAATTGCATCAGCTTGCCAACTAAGGATTTGAACAATCTTGTTCATCATAATATTTCAAGAAAACATGATATTGCTACCTACATCAATTGAAAACCCAACTATACCGTAGAGAATAACATAATTATTTATAGCAAAACCTGATTCCACAACCACATTTCAGCGACGGAGTACAGACCAATAAAAAGCCCAAAAATAACAATTGAACAAGTTCGTAGACGAGATCTCCAGATAACAAACAAATGGTTCCCCTTTACGAGAAAAATATTAGGACATCAGATAGCCAAAACTCCAATAGACATCCCTTGCAGTTCCAGTTCATCCCCAATGGAAATCCAACACTGCATATAACAACCACGGTAATAATAATAGAACAGGTATTATTTAAAAAAAAAATCAAATTAACATAACATATTTATGCAAATAACTTTCAATAAAAACATCAAACCCATCTGACTGGTTACAAATGAAGCATCTGCTAATAAACACGAACGACTACTACAACAACGAAAGAGAAAACATTAATCACCTTGCACTACTCTTGTCAGATCTTATGAAACAGATTAAATCAAGCAAAAAACAGTCGCCAGAGGTACATGTAAAAGGCAACCACAGAGAGCACGCTGAAACGAGAAGGCAAGTCTTGGTCGCCAGACATGATAAACATCACAGGTAGAGCTTAAATTGTGTGTCCATCATAGCAGAACTGAACATTATGAGGCAGAACTGAACACGCCAAAACACCGTAAAATGCCTGCTGAAAGCGATGGAACCTTGTATGAGTGGTACTAGTTTCTTCAACATTGCCGCGCAGTGACCATGCCAGGAAGATGGTTCCATCAGTCATATCCAAATCAGAGATACACTGTAAATATTTGCCTCATATTCCTGCAAGTAATGAAAATCATCAAACTTAATGCGGCTAAAATAAAAAAACTCTTTAATTAGCATAATTTACAGATATTAGCGGAAATTTCCCTCTATAATAAAATAATTGACGCGTCCAAAAGCAGCTCCACCACAAGACCTTGACAACCAACATAAAAGAATAATCTTCCACCGCGGTGCTCCAGCTGGTACATTTCACATCCAACAAAGCGAATCTTCACAACAATAAAGTCTCATATGCTAGGTACAACAAGCTTCATCCCCTTACAATATACACAAATACAATACCTTCAAGAGTACAACAGCTGCTAACCCCCACCAATTAATAGACATCAAAAATCATAAACTAAAATGGTCCAACAACGAATATCAGGACCAAATCACACAGAAGAAAATGGAATTCCTTTTGGACACACAACACTAAAATTGCACATAACAAAATAATTGATTGACAATCTCACAACACCTTAAAAAACCAAAAAACTGAACTATAAAACAGGTAATAATATAATTTATTTGCCCGTCATATTCCAGACCATAATTTATAGGTTCTTTACTCTCAATATACCCATGCTAATTTCACATATTTTCAGTTTATTAGATAAGAACTGAATGACAGCCTAAAAATTGTGTATGGCTATGCTATACTAGAACATAAAATTTGGCAAAGATCACAGTGAAGAGATCGCAGATTGATAAAATGTTAGCCACAATGTATATAAGATTTAGAATGATTATTAAAATATAAATCAGTATGATTACGTATAATAATTTAGACTGATTAGGAATGACAATTTAGACTGATTATGTATGATAATTTAGACTGATTAGGTATATAAGACAAGAAATGACGTGGCCGATAAACAGGGTTTTTCAAAGTGATAATCAACTTGAAAATATTCTTAAAAAGTGATTTCTTAGAGCCAGTAGACAGGTAAGTTCAAAATGATATAATTAAGACAAATGTTACTAATAGTCATTTTGCGTGATAAAGTGGTTGGTCATATATCCGATAAAAGATTGTGTTTAAAATAATATACGCAATATGGAAATAGACTTCTGATGAGCATTGTTAAAAGAGCCAATATGTAAATGTGTGCTGAGATAATTAAAAGTATTGTCATACTACATGCGATGCCTGTTACCATTCTTTATGTACTAAATGAGCCAAATAAGAGAAGACAAATTAAACTTATGTGTCAGTGGATTGTACCTTGGGATTGTTCCTTCGCGAAGAGTGCCCTGCACTGTGTGCTGATCAATTTCAAACTGTGTGGGGAAATCTATATTGCCTTTAGACTGTAAGTGGTTGCATGTTTGGCATAGAACCAAACAATTCAGTCAAGCAGCAAGAAACCAAAGAGGGAAACACAGGAAAAAAAAAGGCAAGAACACCAGCAAGGGGGAGAGCCGGGGATAAAAAAAATAAAACCCCCGTACCATCTCCCCCGAAAACAAAAATAATAATAATTTTATTAGGGTTTTTGACCTGCCATGCAAGCGCACCTGACATGGCAAAGGTCGATCACAACCACACAGCGTAAATTCATCTCTCACATCTTAACCTCACAAATCTTACCTCTCTTTTTTTTGCTCACTATCACATAATTTTTTCCATAACATTCTTTTCCAACGCCACAATTTTTTTCTTCCTCACAACACATAACTTCTTCAAAACCATAACAACGATAATAAAACAATACTGTGAATAAATTACCCAGCATAAGTCAACCTTTGTCTAGCTTACTATAATTCCTGCCAACTATTAACAGCTTCTATGATCTACCGCACCATAACGATCTCGATCCCGTCTCATAAGGCAGCTTCAGCAGATCTGATCTGATACGCACAGGTAGGGCAGACATAAAATCCGTCCATCCTTCGTCCAGATCCAAAGACCGTTTCCAGAAACAGCATAAGCCTGCACGTGTGAAAGTAGAACAATAAGTAAATCATTGAAAGATTAATAAATCGATCGAATATACAGACCTTTTAAAAAAAAAAAAAAAAACAGCTAAATCTTAATTTAAAATTATTGAATAGATATAAAGAGATTCTTGGACATACCTAGATCTACTCGATTGGAAACAAGACTGTCCATGGATCATGACCTCGCAAAAGCGGATCAAACGATCTATTCGTGGACATACCTTGATCTGCTCGATTGGAAGGCATGACCAAACGATAGATCATTTCACGATGTGTTCAGATCTATAAAGAAATTTGAGAGAAACAAAAGCAAAAGAAACAGATCTGATAATTAGCATGTCCTGAATAGAGAGAAGAGAGCCGACTGAAATGAGGTATCAGGGTTGTTGTGACTTATAGTACATGAAAACCGACTTAAATTGGAACCCTAGATGATCCAACGGCTTTTATGATTTGACGAGTTATATGGTGGACGGTTGGATTTGCGCGATATTAGTAGGTATCTGTCTGGCTGTCAGTAGCGTGTTGTAATTGACAAGGTATGGACGGCTATTATTTCGAGGAAGGTTCTCGATGAAAATGATTTTTTTTTTTATTTTTCAATTGGACGAAAAAATCAAAGCTAAACACCTTGTTTGGCAACTTGACCTTATGTAATCCATACACGTTTAACGCTACCACCTTGTTTGCCTACTTGGCCTTATGTAATCCATACACGTTTAAAGCTAACACCTTGTTTGCCTACTTGGCCTTATGTAATCCATACACGTTTAAGGTAGTGATAATGATAAGATAAAAATAGCATTAATATGAACCACAACGTTATGAAAAATTTTAGATACTAAAATCTAACAAATTTTTTTTTTTTTTTTTTATATATATATATTGAGGGATTAAATTATTATTTTGTTATTTTCCCGTCTAAAATAATATAGTACATGGTACTAACCCTATTTTAGTATTGTATACTTTTTCTTTTTTTTTTTTACTTTAATTTAATTATTGATAAAAATATTGTGAAAACCACCATAAATTTTTATGTTAAATAATTAAATGCTAATTGTGTTAAGTATCTCTAACAAACAAACCTAAGTTAAGCATATGAGTATATATATATTGTTAACTAATATAATATTAGAATTTATTTAAAATAATAAGTTTTTCTTAAACTGTATATAAGTTTTAGGTAGCATTTGCTTCTAGGTCATAAAAGATAATACCAATAATCTATCTTTTAATTCAGTAATTACTACATTTTGGTGTCAAGTAATTAAAGATTCCAGTAATCGATCAATATCAATAATAATTATTGTAGGTAATATAAGGGATAATTCGATTTTCATATGAAATGATGTTATTTTTTTATTACCGGGGTAATCAACTGTTCATACCAGTTTTACCCTTAACTAATAAATATTTTAGACACAAATGCCCTCATATGTCTACTAAATAACAATTAGTCAAAATGTGCGAACTGACTTCTTTAATCTCATATATTTATTTTTTGGATAGAAATACCCTCATTATTTACATGGACAAAACCTAAAATATCCCTAGCCATCCAAGACAAATGTCGACTGTCGACCACTGGCAGTAGTCGCCAGAACAACACACGACCGACCAGATCTAGCTGGTTGTGTGCCAATCTAATCGTTTATGGCCAGATCGAAGGCTGGAAATGGCCAAATGGTCGTGGATCTAACCGAAAATGATCAGATCCACAACGGCGAGATCTGTGGCCGTTTACAACCATGGATCTAGTTGTTAATGGCCATAATGGATTTGGCTTTCTGGCCAAATCGATGCACGATTGGCCAGATTTGGTTGGTTGTGCGTAAGGGTGTTATCGAGCCGAGCCTTCGGCTTAACGAGCTTAGCTCGTGAGAGGGGAAGAGTAAACGAGCCTAGACTGAGCCAAGCCGAGCCATAAATTATATGGCTCGGCTCGGCTCGGTAATGGATTAGGCATATTTCGAGCCGACTCGCGAGCCATCTCCAAATAATTTTTTTTTTTTTAATTTTTTTTACAAAAATTCGCTGGGCAGCAGTCTGAGTCGTCTGACTGCCCACCTCCATTTTCTGTTGTTTAAATTATTTATTCTTTTATCAATAAAAAATCAAAATAATTTTTTTAATATTATTTTCTTCATTCTTCAAAGGCAGAGGGCTCTTCAAATTCTGTTGGCTTGCGTTTCTTTGTTCTACAATGTTTGAAATTCAAATAAATGCAAATCATAATTTAACTTTGTCTGGGCAGCAACCATCTCCAAATAAAATTAAAGAAACCCCAAACAAACAATTAAATCCCAATCGACCGGTTAAAGTCCCCTACTGACCTATTAAAGTCCAACGACAATCCGACGAAGATGATGACGAACCGACGATATCCACTTCAGATCTAACGATGATGATGACGAACCACAATGTCCACTTCAGATCTGACGAAGATGATGACGAATCGACGATATCCACTTCAGATCTAACGAAAATCCGACGAAGATGACAACGATGATGAAGATCCAACGGCTGCCAAAGGTCCGACGAAGATGAACAATATCCGGTGAAGCTGACGAAGATGAACAAGATCTAGCTGAAAATCAACACTTTGGGAGGAGTTTGATTCAAATTTTACGGCAAGGGTTCACTGCTGACGGAATTTTCGAGATTTGGGAATTTTAATAACGGGGGCCATTTTGTTATTTTTTAAAACTTGTTTGTATTATTTTCAATTAAATCCCAATGGTTTAGAAATTCTCAAAAAACCCCCGCTTTTTCGAGCTAGGCACGGCTCGCGAGCCTGACGAGCCGAGCCTTGTATGGCTCGAACTTGGCTCGTTTTGTCTCACGAGCCGAGTCGAGCCGGCTTGTAATCAGACGAACCGAACCATTAACGAGCCAGACTCGAGCCGAGCCCAGCCGGCTCGCGAGCGGCTCGGTTCGTTAACCAGCCCTAACTTGTGCGTAGTCCCAATGACTGTCGTCATCAGCCAACAGTCGTCTTAAATGACTAGGTGTATTTTGTTAAATTTTAAACTTTTGTTGTTTGAGTGTTTAGCTAAATTCTCAAATATAGGGGGTTAAAAATAATGTTCTAAATAATAATAATAATAATAATAATATTAACAAACAAGGACAATTCAGTATAAACTCTTTCGATAATATTTTATTCCTTCCAACCAAACATATTAATTATTTATACTCACCAATCTAACCAAACATATTAGTATAACATTCCCTCATTAATCTTCAAGATAATTTATCTCAGTAGTGAAAAATTCACGCTACCTTACTATATTTACAAATTACGTGGCATCATTACCTACAATTTTTTGTTTTAATTTTCATACTCAAGACTTGACTTCATAAGTTGATAGTGAAATTTTGTACCATAAATTAATTTAATCAAACAAAATTTTACAAAATTTGTTGGTTAGGTCCTCAGGTTTCCCAAATGGGCAGTATATTAAAAAAATACCCATCCGGTACAATATACATGCAGTAAAAGCTCTCAATAATAATACTTTATATAGGAATAATCTATGTATAGTCATAAAAAATAATAGTCCCAACTTGGGATAGTTATAAATAAAAATAAACTCTACATTATAATAAGTTATAATTTTTCTAATTCCCATTTTAAGAAAATTGCCTCTGTAAAATAATAATTATTTGTATAGTGCAAAAAAATATATGTTACGTTAAGGTTTAAGATAAAATAAAATATTTATTTAAAGTTGTTTAGGACAAGAATTTATGTTTAAGAGCTATTACCGTATCTTTTAACTAACGGGTATAGTACGTAAAACTCACTAGCATGAATATATTGTTGAAGCCAATATATTTCTAGTTTCTCAAGCATGTTTAGAGCTTATTAACACGAAACTTTTTATATTTCCGTACTATCATCTTTATGATTATTTCTTTTTTATTTTTGTCTAATTGCAATAATAACTACTAAAACAATGAATTGAAATCCTAATACATACTATTAAAACGTGAATTATAAAATAAGAAATCAAAATATAATTATATATCTATTAAGTTATAACCTCCTTATAGTAATAAATTAGTTTGATCTCAACGTTATGATACTAGAGAGATTTTACTATATATATTTTTTATAATCGGGTTGTCTAAACCAGCTTGTGTAAATCTCAACTAATCATTAGATTCATTGAATATCCTATATGTCCAATAGACAAATAAGTCGCATACATACCTCAAAATTTTTATCATTTTGGACTTTATCACTAAAATCACACAACAAATCCACGGATTGCGTGGATTTTGATAAGAGAAATTAGTTGGGAGACTACAAAAAAAAGAAAATTAGAGTTGGTTTAGATTAAGATTTAGCTGAGGAAGTGCAAAAATCCCATTTGTTAATGTTGTTTTATGATCTTAATTACTGATGGTGCTGATAAACAACCTGACGTTAACCAAATGAGGAATTGCTTGTTACCCATATTTTGATTGATTTGATTAGTTGATACTCACTCTCCACCCACTGTTTTTGTTTTCACCTGCGAGGTTGTGAGTTCAAAATCCAAAACACTGCAATCCCAACCCAGTTGTTTCATGCTGAGATTGCCCATGAAAATTTTTTAGTTGCTTCATAGTTTACCTTCCTCATGTATGTGCGTGGAGACAAAAACTCTTTTAGTCCACACCCTAATTGATGCTATTCTTTACAGGCAATAAGTCCAACTCATTCCACCTACTCTCTTATGTATTGGACACCTTTTTTCTCTTAATTTTAACCAACCTTAGACCAAATTACCTTAATAAAAGTTATTCAAATTTTTGTTATTTTATCATTAGACCACCTAGTGGTGGTTACTGTTTGTAAATTCTCTTCTTTCTTTCTTGCATGTGCATTACCCATCTATATATCCGATCTGAACCATCATGGATATATAAAGAGAAGAAATGGAATGAGGAGATGTAGGAAATATGCTAGTAAAGAAGGCTTGAAGCGGAAGCTCTTTGAAACATCAGCAATTGCTTGGATTAGAATCAAAGTCAGGACAGTGGAAATGTAACAGAGACCCCCACTCGCAGATATAACTGACGTTCACGTCAATCTTCCCATGTCAATATTTCAAACATCATTTTATTATCGCGTTGGACTGGACTTCCCACCACACCCAACTTTGAAAGAACCTTCCCAACTAGAAAAGGAATTACAAACATTCTCATTCTCATCTTCTCTTCTCTGCACTAGCAATATTCCTAAAACAATGTAATTAAAACTCATTATGCTATTTTTGGGTTAAACAGATAGGAACTTAGAGATAGGAACTGGGTTCCCGTTTCAGCTCCAAGCACGAGATGGCGAAGAGATCAGACTTTGCACAGAAGCTGTTAGATGATCTCCGGTTGAGAAAAGAACGACTGGCTGCCACTGAGAGTTCAAACCGAACAAATAACACAACAGTTGCAGGTAAGTAATTCTACAAATCTTTGCATTAGACACCAAGAAGAGAATGCATTCATAGGACAACTTCATATTGAAGTTCCACGGATACAAGAATCTTAACTTAGCTTTTCTCAGGATCATGATTCTTGTTTCATGGCTTCAAGCAAACTAGAAAAGTAGCCGGTACCATTTACCTTTTAGCATGTAGGCTAGAAGGATCATATCGAAATTCAAAAGGGAAATTAATTCTTTTACATGTTGCATTCTTACTCTTCAGTCGACATATATACGTAATAAAATACTGAGAAAAGCTATCTCTTAACACAAATGGTAAAATGTTAGATTGTGTTTCAGTTTACTAACTAACAAAGTCGGAAGGTTTCAGAAATAGTACTTTGTTCTGGAACTCTGCCTGAAAAAAAAAAAAAAAGAAGAAGAAAACACCAGCAATAAAATCGGCTAGTTTTAGTCAAAAGAAAATTAAGAGAGGAAAAGACTGCAAATGTGACTTTATTAATTATAATGTATTGACACTTTATTGACTAGATGTACATCGACCAAGATAATTTCTATGATTATTTTATAATGAAACTAATGTAATAATTAGATGTTCAATCACAAATAGAAATGTTTAATTAAGTGCAGCGTTTGTTCTGCTGTGTGTAACAGATGCATATTCGTATGCAAAGAAAAACTACCGAGGATCCAGAGATTTCAAAACAACTGAAACTGTAAGTTTTCAAAGCTGAACTTTGTTTAATTTGTTGATATATATATATATATAAGACTTAAATACAGGGAATTAACTTTGTTAAGTTACAATTTATTGTTTCCAACAGACTGGTTTAAGACCTGGGACCCCGCAGAACAGGTATAAAGGAGGCAATAAATTCACCACTGGTGAAGCTTCTCAACAGGTTGTTCCTTTTGGGAGAGGCCAAAGCACAGGAAAAATTGGAGATTTGTCTATGGCTCTGGCTTTTGCCCTTGAGAATGGAGGAAAACTCAGCATGATGGATTCGTCAGGCAATAATTCAATTCTGGCATTCTTGAATCAGATTGGCGGGCGATCACTGGACTATGAGAAGATGGGAAGAAGAAATAGCATAGACAGGCATCAGTCTTCAACTAGCCACTTCCCTAGCCTCTCTCATCTCCATCTCAAAGAGATATCAAGGGGGGCTCAAAAGTTAAATCAGATCCTTACAGCATGCTCTAATGGCCTGAAATTTGATAGATATTCAATGGAAATTGGAAATGAACTACTGAAAGGGGCCACAGATTTGGAAGAATCATTGCGGATGCTTATAAACCTGCAGGATGCTTCGGAGTACATGAGCACCCCACGAAGAAAAAGTCGGATCACTTTGCTTGAGGAGGATGAAGATGAAGATGACGATGCTGTTAATTTGGCTGAGCAGAAGCAGCTGGCTCGGCCACAATTTTCATTCGACAAGCCCTCAAGAAACTATCATGGCACCCAAGATGTTGCAAGGAATGATCTCAAGCTGAGGCTGGCAGCTCTTACTTACCGTTCGGAAGCTACTAATTTCATCTATGAAAAAAAATCAGCACCTCACAGGCAATCAGTTAAGAGTAGCTCCAATGTCAAAACTCCAGCTTCATTTTCAGAACAGAAAAACTATTCAAGTTCTTCTCAATCCAAAATGGAAAAGGCGAGAATTCCAAATGTAATTGCAAAATTAATGGGGCTTGATGAACTTCCAGAAAATGTAGAATCAAAGCACGCCATACAGAAAGACTCAAACCTCTTGAAGAAAACTGTGCAGGGAAGCACCAAGAAGGCCAAAAAGAGGACAGAAGATGCTGAGAATCTGGTACACTTAACGTCAAAGCAAAAGATGATAAAAACCAACAACATTCCAGCAGTTCAGAACAGTGTTGCATCACAAGCAGAAATTGAACTGGCTGCCCGCAATGCTGGCTTTCAGGTGGTAATTCATGGTGGAAAGTCACCCTGGAAGGACTTTGAAGGTACAAAACCAGTGACAGGATTTGAAAAGGCCAGTATCAAAGTAGACAATCAGCAAGGCAATATCACCCCATTGAACCATAACATTGGAAACCAAAAGGATAATCATGAAGAGCAAAGAGAACATAGAGGTGCAGAAAAGAGCAAAATGAAGGAACCAGTTTTAAAGGATGAGCTGCAGCGGATGCCACCTCAAACACATAAAAGGTCAGAAGCGATAGTTATGTCCGAAGACAAAACAGGGTTGAAGGAAGGTGCGCTTCGAAGAGAAAGCGTTTACACAAACAAGCTTGTAGCGGGCACTCGGCAGAAGTCTCAAGCCAATCTCGGATACCAACAACCACACATGCTCCGGAAATCAGAGCCTCTAGAAGAAAAACAGCAAGCAGACGAGAGGGGACAACAGAGTGTAAAACAGAAGTTGCCAGCAAGGAAACTAAAGGGAAGTGAATCAATGTCCCCTGCTTTTTCAAAATCCATGCATGCTGAGATTAATTTGCAAAAGAAGCAGTCACATATAAATCATGCCGCAGTTAGTAAGAAAAATTTCACAGAAGCTCCTGATGCAATGCAATCAGAAAGGTTTTCAGATGGCAGACGTCAAGAAGATCTGGTCAGTAACAAGAGTTCTGCTAGCTTAAATGTCAACACAAGAGGCCCAGTGAGCGGGAACTCAAATCAGGATACATCTTCAAGAGAGCAAGAATCTAAACTAGCAAAATCGAAAGCTGCCGTTCCACCAATTATGGAAAAGAAACCTGTTCATGATCCAGGCACCTGGAACACTGAAAGCATTAAGGTGCATAGAAGAGAGACTCCTCGAATGATCAATGAAGTAATGGTCAGAAGAGGAGGTGCCCTACAGAACTCTGCCAGGGCACAGAAACGTAAAAATTCCATTTTGCAAGAAGTGAAACAGAGAAAGAATGAAAAACTCCGTGTCCCCAGAGAAGCAAATCAAACAAGGATTGGCAAGTCCAAAGAACCTGAAGTAAGCATCATTAAAACAAGAAAATTAGTTGCTAGCATAGAACCAACGGCTGTTGCACAACAACAGGAAAGAGAAGCTCAGGAGGCTCCCACTTTGCACAGTCCTACTGAGCATGGAAGCCAAAGCGCAAAAGAAACACAGACTCTAGTTCGGAATGACAGTGTCAGTCCATCTTTACACCAATTTTGAAGTTATTATTTTCGTATATCTCAAAATTCTAATTTGAGTTTCATGAGGAATATTTATTGTGTTAGGATTAGAAACCACATTCGAGGTAGAAAAGTAATTGCTTGTTTTGGGGGAGTCATATTGGTTTGGTGTGTTGTTACCTGCCATACTTAAATAGGATTTTATTTTCTCGCAGCTATTTCACATTTTGTTTTTTGGATGGATGATGTGCAGTGCCAGCAGACAGACTCTACGGTTATGAGTGATCAGCAAGGTGGAGAACCACTGCTTAATGGAGGTGTAGAACAGAAGTCTCACATTACTGAATCTAATCCACCAAATGGTAAGTACAACCTCGTAGTTCAGTTTCAAATGTGTTTCCCCACAAGACGACGTGTAGTGTATCTTTCCGGACGAAATGTCATCTCATGAAACAACAGAAACGACATTAGAAGTGTGGAATGGAAAAACGTTTGATAGTCAAAGCTCTTTGTTTTAATTTTGCAGGGAAGCATCAAGGCAGCACTGATATCGCTTATCCCTCACAATTGGTGTACCAGAAAAGTTCTAGAACAGAAACAGCAAGGCCACTAACAGAGGGTGAAAATCATCTGAAGCAGATACTGATTAAAAGCCAGATATTTCTTAACACTGCAGAGGCTCTCTTCAAACTCAACATTCCTTTTGACATTCTTGATGCCGGTGGCCCTGACTGTCAAGATGAGGACAGCAAGCTCATATTAGACTGCGGCTATGAAATAATGAAAAGAAAAGGAAGAACGCAAGAGCTAAGCGTTCATCCTTTTATTAAAGTATCAATCTCTGCAGTGAAGATAAGATCCTTGGACGACTTGGTTAGACAGTTAACTAAAGACTTTGAGAAGTTAAAATTCTACGGTGGGAATGTGAATAGTGAAGTCATTTTGGAAGAGTTTCTGCCTAAATTGCTTGAGAATGATGTCTATAACAAGGACCCAGATGTGAATTGTATGTGGGATTTGAGTTGGAACGAGATGATGTTTGCATTTATTGAAAAAGATGATGTTATAAGGGATGTGGAGAGATTTGTTCTCAGTGGACTCGTAGACGAGATTACCAGAGATCTTTTACAATTCCAAATTCCAGCGTTTTGATGTGAACTGATGAAAAAAACACGGGAAAATAATTTGGCTCTGCATTGCAGTTTGTAAAGTAAACTGAAAATTTTCATGGGTTATTTTTTTTTTTTTTCCATTTTCCCGAAGGTAATATTAAATTTGTGTATATGCCAGTTTGAATTTTGATCATTGTCCATATCAAATATACCATATCTATGAGCATAATGTCGCATTAGGGGAAATTTTGGACTTATAAGGGGACTCCCTCTATTTTAGATATAAAACTCCCAATCCTTAATAATGGTATCAGAGTAAACGCAATTCATCTTTTGGTGTTCCGTCATACTCACACGGTCACAAACCCCACATTGAAAGGGGAGAATGACATTTTCCCATCCAAGGTTTGGCGAAACGACACTTTTCCATCCATCAAGTTTCAAAAGGACACTTTACCACCCTTCGTTAAGTTCTACTATATTTTCCGTTAATATTTTACTGAAAAGACAAAAATACCCTCAAATATTTTACTTTATAAATTTTTTATTATTTTTTAATTAACCAAAAAGTCAAATATTAAAATTCAAAAAAGAAAAAATAGTTAACCCTACTTGAAAACTTAGGAATAATACTATAAAATTGTTTAAAGTTAACAAATCGTAATATTTATTTATAATGTCATCAATATCACATCACTATTATTTATAATGTTTTTTATTTTTAGTAATTAACATAAAAAATCAATATTCCTAATTAATTAAATAAACAAAGAGAAAAATATATTTTTATACTTAGACTAATAGATAATCGAATAAAGACTTTAAATTAATTAAATTTTAATTTATAATAAACTATTTAAGGATATTCTCATTTTTTTAATCAAATATTAACAAAAAAATATTAACAAAATTTAACAAAAGGTGTGAAAATGTCATTTTAAAACTTGATAGGTGAAAAAGGCTCCATCAGACCTTGGGTGGGAAATGTCGTTCTCCCCATTGAAAGCTATCGAAGTAAACGAGATCTGCCTTTCAATGTCCTGTGACACTATCACTTTCCCACATTAAAAGCGCTTAGGACGGGAGTTCGATAAAAGAGCGAAACTAGTACTAAATATCATTGCCTATATCAAACCGTGTTTAGAAAATATTGGGTCTATTATGTAAACTTATCTTCAATTTAACTAATGATTGAGGGCTATCTAGCAAAGAGACGAGAGACATTAAGTATTACTCAACACTTTACTAATAAAGTAATTAGATTTTTTTATTTAAAAAAAAAAAAAAAAGTGTAAAAAGCCTTTGTAACGGATATCTCTGAACAACACTTTAGATTTAGAAGTTGGATTTGAATTTGTTTTATTTGACATACATAAATGATGAAACCACTAGCATAAGATGGTCAATAAAGGAGTCGTGATGAGGCCTTTGATAGAGTGGGTCTCCATAACATCTTATTTAAAGATGAAACTAAAGATCATGAGCTCAAAATTAAATTATTAACCCCAAGAGTTGGTCGGGTGGTTAAAGAGGTTTACTTATTTCTTTGAGTTTGGGTTCAAACCTTGGATCCACTTACCATAATAACATTATAGTTTATCTGATCATTTAGACTTGTAAAATGTTTAATAGATTCCGAAGATTAGTTAAGGTGCACGTAAACTGACTCGAACACCCCGATTATCCAAATAAAAAAAGTTTGGTCAATAACGGCAACCAAGAAGAAAGCTTAATTTTGAAGGTATCAATCAAAGTTTTCCTTTCCATTTGAATTGCTTGTGCGCCCATCATACCTAGCTTTATAAAGTTACTTCCCCTTTGTGCTTTTGCATTTTTCACCTCGAGCCACCTGCAATATTCTATTCCATTTTATGCTTTACTTTCTATAACGTCTTTAAAGCTCTCTTCCCTCGTTGAAAATTTTACTCCATTTTCTTTCTTTATTATATTATATATATGTCATTTCTTAGTAGAGAAGAAAACCACCATGAATACTTGAAAGGAGGAGAATTATACGTATTCCCAGTTCCCCACATGACTAGGATCCTTCACTCAGGAGTTTCCACTTTCACGATGTAGTAGAATTTACCATCTGTTTTTCTTCTTACAATTCTACCCTCGACTCCATAATCCCTCTCTTATTTATAGAACCTCACCTTCACGAAATAATATCCGAAACAGAGACTGCACTGCATTTCTTCCATGGCAGCTGTTCGTTGCGCTGTACTTTTGGCCGTCTTTCTACTGAACGTAATAGAAACTGCATGTAAGTTGTTGTTCAGTTTTATGATTCGGAAAGAAAGCTTTGTTTTGAATTTTTGTTGCATTTTTTTTTTTTAAATTCATAAATACTGTACGTACTGGCCTGAAAGATGAAATATCTTTTTAGTGGCTGAGAATTCTTACTCAGTCATGAAACTCTTACTCTGTCCGTGCAGACTCAGAACCATTCATAGGTATAAACTATGGGCAAGTCGCGGACAATCTCCCGGAACCATCAGCCACTGCAAAGCTAATACAAACCTCTGCAATTGAGAAGGTCCGGTTGTTCGGGGCCGACCCAGCCATCATCAAAGCCTTTGCAAACACCGGTGTAGGAATTGTCATCGCAACTTCAAACGCTGACGTTCCAGCATTAGCTTCCGATCCTAATTTTGCTAAAACCTGGATCAACACGAATGTAGTTCCCTTCTATCCAGCCAGCAATATCATCGTCATAAATGTGGGTAACGAGGTTACTCTATCTGGTGACCAAAATCTGGTCGCTAAGCTTTTGCCAGCGATGCAGAACATCCAGAATGCCCTCAATTCTGTCTCTTTAGGTGGTAAAATTAAGGTTTCCACCGTTCATGCTATGACTTTGCTAGCACAATCTGAACCGCCCTCTTCAGGAGTCTTTGATGCAAAATATGTTGACGTTTTGAAAGGATTGCTCGCGTTTAATAATGCCACCGGTTCGCCTTTTGCAATTAATCCATACCCGTACTTCGCTTCCATGGGTGATACTAGACCTGAGACGAAACCTTTTTGTTTGTTTCAGCCCAATAAAGGGCGATTCGATTCAAACACCAACATTAATTACATGAACATGTTTGATGCTCAGGTGAGTTGAGTTATGCTTTGCTCTTTGTTTTATATCCTTTTCTTAGCAAGAGTTTCTTATGTGCTCAAATTTAACTAAAAAATAACTCCATTAATTGTAGGTGGATGCAGTACGTTCTGCGTTGAATGCCCTGGGTTTTAAGAATGTTGAGATTGTGGTTGCTGAGACTGGATGGCCGTCCAAAGGAGACAGCAATGAACCAGAGGCAAATGTTGAGAATGCCAAGGCTTATAACGGTGGTTTGATTTCACATCTCCGATCCAAGGTGGGGACTCCATTGATGCCTGGGAAATCAGTGGATACTTATTTATTCGCAATGTACGATGAGAACTTGAAACCAGGGCCTCTTTCCGAGAAATCATTTGGACTGTTCAAGCCTGATCTCACCATGACTTATGACGTTGGCCTTGCAAAGACTGGAGACAAGGTGAGAGTTTTTCCAAGACTAGTTTGAAGATAAATTAGTAGTGATAGCTAGCTATTAGTAAGCTTTTCTAACTTGAGCTTTTTTCAACAGAGCCCAGAGTCTCCACCAAATAACACCAACAATTCACCAATGTGGTGCGTGCCCAAGGATGGAATACCTGATGCCAAATTGCAGGAGAATCTTGATTTTGCTTGTGGACAAGGGATTGATTGTAAAGAGATTGGACCAGGTGGTGCTTGCTTTGAACCTAACACAGTAGCATCACATGCTGCATATGCCATGAATCTATTCTATCAAAAATCTGAAAAAAATCCATCCAGCTGTGAATTCTCACAAACAGCCACCCTTTCCTCAAAAAATCCAAGTTAAGTTTATGTTTATCTGTTTAAAGACATTTATAGACTAATGGTAAATAATGCTCAATTTCTGAAAGCTTTTCATATTGATTCGTTACATGATGCTTTCTTTCTGGTTGTTTGCAGGCTATGGTGGTTGTACTTATCCTCAGAGTTCCTAAAGACAGAGTACCTCTGTTCTGTTGAATGGTTGGCTGCGAGCAAATGTTTGTGTTTGTACTTTGTACATGTATTATATGGCATGTGATATAAGATTGACGGTGGAGTGTATGAGATGGATATAAACATGTATTTATTGGCATGTAATTTTAGTTTTTGGCTGGAATGGATGAGAGTGAGATTGGTTTGTTTAATGAATTTGTGCTTCAAATCTTCATTTATTTGTATATGTTTTGTTACTGGCATGAAGCCATTCCCATAAGTTGGACAATAGAGAAGATCAACGCAGAAGTAAGCTTAATTTTTAAGGTTTGAAAGCCTCCATTGAGGTCAGCTGATCAACTGCTGCGTGTGCACCAATTATACCCACCTTTCTAAAGCGAATTAACCTTCGTGCCTTTGCTCCTCAAAGCACAAGCATCCACAATCTTCGATAATTTCATGCTTTAATTAACTTCATTTGCTTTACTTTTACACCATCTTTAACTTTAAAGCTCTTTTCCTCACTTGAAAATGTATTCCCATATTCTGTAATGGATATGTCATGTCTTAGCAGAGAAGTTACCCACGGAACCTCCATCAACACAGGTGATATTTGTAAAACAGATAAACAGAAGCGTTAAGAATAATATTATGTGCACTAACTAAATTGCACTAATTCAAATATTAACAATTGAAATTTTGAAAGGAAAAAAAATTTAGTTTTTCGGGAGGAATTGACGTGGCAATAAGAGAAGTCTGTCACTTCAATTAGTACTTAGATTGTATGATTTTTAGTTAGTGCACATAGCATTATTAACAGATGTGAGTTTGTTGTAGAAACAAGAAAAAATAGAAAATCCAAGACTTGTTATAAACACTATCCTCAAGAATTATTTCGCCACAATAATTATTTCAAGATTGTGAAAATCTCCCAGGATTTAACAGGTGTTTCTGAAATAAATTGCAGGCACACAAAACAATATGAAATTTTAATTAACCCAAAGAAGAAGTACAAAGATGAAGGTTGATGACTTATGAAATTATGAAGAACAATAACTCTTTTTATAGTGTAAAATTATAACGTTATAATAATGTTGACATCAAGAAAATATAGGAGAAAAATAAGGTTTATGAACGTTATGATAATGTTACCTTCTAATGTTAACTCTAGCGGTTAATAAAACTTCTTGTTAAAGTTTGGGAATAATAGGTCAGTAGGATAAAAACAATAACAGTCCTCACAAATTCTTTTTGAAATACCAATACTAATTCAGCAGAGTTCTCATTACTCAAGCTGATACATGTCTCTATTATCAAATATGATTACAGATGACATTCAATTCTATACATTGCAAATTATACAAGAATCCTACAGAGGTTTTAGTCTTATGAAAAGCTTAGACATCGTTTATGATATTACCTTCTAATGTGTAGCCAAAACTTATGCGTACTTCAACATGAAATCTTTTATCCTGTACACAGGTCTGTATCCTATGTAAACACTATACATGGGTCATGGAATGACTCCAAGACTTTTACAATAGTAATATAATTACAAGCAGTGATGGTTGCCTGTTAGATGTTGTGAGAGATATAATTCATTTGAAGAAAGGCATTCGATAATCATTCAAATCCGTTGTCGTCCAGCGGTTAGGATATCTGGCTTTCACCCAGGAGACCCGGGTTCGATTCCCGGCAACGGAATTTCAATTCTTTTTCTTTCTAATTGTCAATTTTTCTTTCAAATTTTAATTTCTTATATATATAAGGGATGATATAGCTTTCTCTTCTATCACAACACTCCATTAATTTTATATACATAAGAGATGATAACAACACCAATTAAAAGCAATCAATTATATTTTACTACATAATATTGTATAAAAAATATTCTATGTGTAGTATTACTTAAAGATTATGTCACTTCATCTTTTACAACACTAATTTTCTGTATATGAGGGTTTGATATCATAATACTCAACTAATTTTATGTATAAGAGATGACATCACTTCAAGTTTATGTATAAAAGGCAATATCACTTCAACTTTAAGAGTATCTTCAATGATGTTCTTTATTTTAAAGAACATATAAATATAAATATGCAATATCTTTATTAATTTTTAATTATAAAGAATAGAATTTTTATTTAAATCCAATAGATTCTTTAAATTTTAATTTTTTCTCTTATTAAGTTTAAAAAAAAGGCTTAATAACAAAGATAATTAATATATAAAATGCATAAAACTTATAATTTATTAATTAAAATTAAGATAGAGAGTAAAATTTGATTTTTTAGATGTAAAGAGTCAAATTTACGCTTTAATTTATATTTAAACAATAAATAGTATATTAAACTTTTATTTTTATGAATAAATTATTTATATAAAGAATTTGAATNTTAACAGTTAATAAAACTCCTTACTAAAGTTTAGGAATAATAAGTCAGTAGGATAAAAACAATAACGGTACTCAAATTCTTTTTGAAATACCAATAATAATTCAGCAGAGTTCTCATTACTCAAGCTGATACATGTTTCTATTATCAAATATGATTACAGATGACATTTAATTCTATACATTGCAAATTATACAAGAATCCTACAGAGGTTTTAGTCTTATGAAAAGCTTAGACATCGTTTATGATATTGTTACCTTCTAATGTGTAGTCAAAACTTTTTCATACTTCGAGAGAGGAATTCAAATCCGTTGTCGTCCAGCGGTTAGGATATCTGGCTTTCACCCAGGAGACCCGGGTTCGATTCCCGGCAACGGAATTTTTTTTTTTTTTTTTCTAATTTTCAATTTTCTTTTATATTTTTCTTTCAAATTTTAATTTCTTATATATATAAGGGATGATATAGCTTTCTCTTCTATCACAACACTCCATTAATTTTATGTACATAAGAGATGATAAAAACACTAATTATTTTTTTGCATAAAAAATTATGTATAATACTACACATACAATATTTTTATACAATATTATGTAACAAAAGATAATTTGGTGAAAATTTATTTTTAATTTAAAATCAGTTAATCATATTTTATTACATAATGTTATATAAAAATATTATATGTGTAGTATTATGCAAAAATTATATCATTTCACCTTTTACAACACTAATTTTCTGTATATAAGGGTTTGATATCACAATACTCAACTAATTTTTTTTGTATAAGAGATGACATCATTTCACGTTGATGTATAAAGGGCAAATATCACTTCAACTTTAAGAAAATCTCAAATGGTGTTATTTATTTTAAAGAACATATTTCATAAAAATAAAAAACATTTTTATTAACTTCCAATTATAAAAAACAAATTTTTTATTCAAATCCAATGGACTTTTTAAATTTTAATTCTCTCTCTTATTAAGTTTTAAAAAAAAAAAGATAATTAATATATAAACTTCATCAAAACTTATAATTTATTAATTCAAATTATAATAGAAAATTAAATTTAACTCTTTAGAGTATCTTCAAATAACTCTTTATATAACTTAAATTCTTTATTATAAAAAAATTATCCATAAAAAAAAGAATCCAACCAACTCTTTATTCTTTAAATATAAATTAAAGAGTGGGTTTGACTCTCCACATTTGGAGAGTTAAATTTCACTCTTTATCCAAATTTTAATTAATAAATTATAAATTTTTATACATTTTATTTATTAATTCTTTTTCCTATTAAGTAATTTTCTTGAAAATAAAGATCATCTTCATTAAATTTAAAAATGCATTGGAATTTAAATAAATTTTTTTTTTTTTATGTTTAGAAATTAATAAAGATGTTTTTCATTTATATAAAAAATATTTTTTGAAATAAAGAACATTATTAAAATACTCTTAAATGTAAAGAGTCAGACTCACTCTTTATTTTATATTTAAAAATAAAAAAATATATTAACTGTTATTTTTTTAAATAAATTATTTATAATAAAGAATTTACGTCACTTCTTGAAGATCTCCCACTTTCCTAATTTTCTATACATGAGATGATTTCTCTTTAATTTTCTGTACGAGAGAAGATGCCTCCATTTTTGGCAACAGGATTATTAATCATTGTTGAATCTGTTCCGGAAATTTCATATTAAATGACGGAGTTTCTCCATTATCCATAAGATTTTCTATATTCTAAAACCATTAAAAGTCAGTTTTATGCGACAGCTCCTGGGAGTCTGGGACACGGCGTCGGTTAAGAATCTTAGCCTAGCCGTTGCGTGAAAATTACTCTAAACCCAGTGGTACCACTGGCCCACGGACTTTGAAGCCACCCCCAAAAGTCTCAATCCATCAAATACAGAACCTGTAAAAGGCCCATACAGAACCGAACCGAAGAAGCACCTGATCCGCGTCAGACGTGAGTAACACCAGCTCCTCGGGGCTTCTTCACACGTGGCCCTACATCCCTAGCCACGTGACAACAACTTTAGTTCTTTCCTTTTGCGAAGCTTCATCAACTCTCCACACTTCAGATACTTGTCTATCCCTCCCTTCCATTTTGTCTACAAACCTCTCTCTTCTTTCCAATTTTTGCTCTCTCAGGTATTTACTCATGCTTTTCATTCTTCATCATTTTTATGCTTTTAATCCATTCATTCTCCTTCCTTTTTATGTTGATTTTTGAAGTTTGTTATTATTGTTACTCAGTCACTGTTAATTGTTGACATAAAACAATCTTTTTTTTTTCATTTGCTTTTACTTGTTTAGAATCTGGAGCAAGGTAAAAACTCAAATTTAACGTTGCATGATTACTTTACTTACATCAGCTAAGTTTGACTCTGTTAAAAAGCTATAAAATCAAAGAACCAGATAATTCAAATTTATTTTTGACGGGATTCTCTTTGATCATCCTCGAAAGTGAAAGAAAGCTTCTGATTGGATTAGGATTTTGTGTCTGATACTGTAATTGTTTAGTGAAGGTTATTTCAAATGGCTTCACCAACTTTAATCTGTGACACCGAGCCATGGAACGATTTGAAGGTAACTTCGTAGCTCACAACTTTTTAGCAAGTGAAGAGTTAGCAGAGTAATATTTATGTATTTAATGTGGACTATATGTCATTGTACAGAATCATGTTGAGGAAATTAAAAAGTCTCATCTACGCAATTTGATGAGCGACACAGAGCGGTGCAAGTCAATGATGGTGTATGTATAACTCTGGATACAGGATTATCTTGTAACTTACAGATGAATGGTTATATGGATGATTGGTTTTATGATGTCTTTGTAT